ACCTGGTGTGAGAGACTCTGTGAGTGTCGCGGGACACTCTCCAGTATAGCTCAATGGATCGCTGAGGTGCGCAAACCGTCACACCACGGTAAGGTCCAGTCTCTTCGTGACGGAGTGAAGGCATTCACCCAGGTTGATTGATTTAGCAAGTAAAGCACACATATCGTTCATTCAAAAACATGAAGAGAATGATAGCACCTCGTTTCTTGTCAAGCATCAGCGAAATTTAACAGATTTGAGGAGTCTGTGGGTCTACCGGCCAGTGGAAACAGGGATAGGATTTACTGCCTGCGCACTTGATGTGAGAGCTGCTAAGCTAAACCCCAAATCAGGTAGATCATTGCTCATATTATCAGATTTTTCCACGTATCTTCATTCCATTGGGAGCAAGTGTATGGCTTCGATCACGTAGTCCGTGATTGAGCGTTATTCTACGTACTCTGAACCACTTACCTTCGGACTGTTTATTGATTCGCCACAATGTTCAGCCCGAAACCAGTTTCGGTTAGTAGATGACAAGTCCCAGCAGTAACTGGAGTCAGAATGGTGGTCGTTGGCTTGTTCGCTGAGCTGGGCAATTTGATTGCAAATGTTTCATCACAACCACGAACACACCGCTACGCGCTACTACGCTCCACAATAACGCACTGATGATGTCACCTCGATTGGTGATGAAACGTTTGCAATCAAATTGCCCGGCTTACCGAACAAGCCAACGATCACCATCTACGCTACCTGAGCTACCAACATTTTCCTCTATGGAGTCAGAATCTTCGAGAAAATTGAGTTGAACAACTGAAGCAAAAAACATCAAAAATAAAACGGGAAATGCGTGTGACTAAACTGTGTGGAGCAGTCAATGTGTGTCTGCTTGTCTAGAGCTATTTTTGAACTTTTTCCCGTATATTGTCTGCCCTTGAAATATTTCCAAATTACTTTACCACGCCCTCAATGAAAGCGTCGAATGACGACTTTGTAGTCCGAATTTGGGCGTTTTTGCACCCAGTACAACCAGACTACCACAGTTAGCCCACATCAACATAAACCAAGCTTCGAAAATGTCCTTTATTTGTCGTTACTGGCGACTTTTCAGAAAACTGGAAAAGGGCAACTGGTGTAACGGTGGTGCTACTGATGGGGGGCATGTGAGTAATATGTTTTCTCGTAAATCCGCTTTGCGTCTCTTGAAAAGTGAGATCTGTTACGGAATTTGTGGAGTCGCTTTGTAGCGTGTGCTTGGATGTGAGAAAGTTCAGGAAGACGCGTTCAAGGAGAAGATGGATATTCAGTTTTGTGAACAAGCGGTACATGAGTGTTTTGCTGCCCTGTCCAATAGTCTGCAACTGTTCAGTTGGCGTTTTCTAATAAATAATTCCGCAGTGGAGGCCTTCTTCCTTTCACTGGGACGAAAGCGGTACATACTCTGAAAAATCATGTGATCATTGGCTCCGAAATTTCGACTGTGAACGTTGGAAGCCATCAAGCGAGTCGGATAGAGGATCGCAAATTCTCTTGCGTGTAAGTGCACATCGGATCTGCGCGATGGGCTTTTTTGGTAGCAATCGATCAAATCCGAATGTAACGAATGCAAAATTTCACCAATCTACTAGGAAACTTAGAAGAATGTTGCCAGATGCTGACCGATGGACCATCAGTCGACACTAAAAAACTTTTGCGAAGGTCCACTAAAACACTAAAAAAAAACAACCTGCAAGGGTTGTAAAATTTTGGAAAGCCGAGCTAGTGGTTTTTATGGAAGAACGACTACGCTGGAAATAACTTCAAGGAAAACTTTGGCAACATGTTCTGGACAAGAGATTGGAACACCAAGATCTTTTATACAACTGGCCTGAGACATGATACGTTCTGCTCCAGTCTGAATGCATTTGGATCGGTTAGTCTATGGTGGGACACATTGCTCCCACTGACGTGTGTTCTGTTTAAAAAAAAAACTAGGTGTCCGGTGGTGCGGTACGTGCTCTGTCAGTCTCAGTGTCGAGTTTTAAAAAGGGTACGTAACAAGTGGATGGTGAAAAAACGGTCTTTGGGGACACGGCTACTTCCTGGAAAAGAGCCTTCCACGGTTTTTCGTTCCCTAAGGTTGTTGTGTAAGAGAGATTGAAGAGGTTTTTTGAAAACCCGCCCTGGAAAGTTTATGCACGTGAATTGCGTTCACTGTGGATGTCTCCAAGGTAATTCGAATGACACTTTGTGGCATGATCTCTCTCCTTGCATCACCTTAGTGTCCTGAATGCGTTTGAGCTGAAACAAACCGGGCCCATGTAAGTGATGTCCAGGTGGGTAGAAAGCATGTCACAATGTACGGACATGGGTAGTGGGTAGGCAGAACACACGTTTGGAGACGAAGTTTCTGAGCTTGGAGCACCAATTGACAAATCAGTCGGTTTAGACAAGACCTCAGGTGATACTGGTGATGATGGGGGAGGGGGGACCGCTAAGACGCAATATCTGTTACCAACGGTAACGAGTAGCAAAGTTAGGTATAATAGTTTGGAACGTATACACCGGGGTCACATCAACTCCCTTACCGCTTCTGTACTGTAGATTCGCTCCGAAAAACGTTGAATAAGACAGTTTATTACATTGGGCTCTATGCGTCATTTGAAGCCACAACCGGAATCAGATCAGCATTATCGATCAATGGAAATTGTAGGTGCGAAATGCCAGCGTACACTTAAGCGCTAGGATTCCGGACATCACCATTCGTCCACGTGAATACACAGGAGGGGAGACACTTGACTGCGTCTTCCACATCGACAAGAGTCAAGTCAAGGAGCCGGACTGTCCAAATCATAGATTTGATCTATTCCTGACCGAGGCCCCTCGGAATAAACGAAGGTGTAAGCACCTGTGATTTAACGGCCAGTCTGAAGCGGGGAGTGAGAAAAACTGCGTCAGAGGTCTTAAGACAGCACCGTGTCGGGAAAACCTCTCTTGAAAGACCGGTGTCATGTAACTTGTTAAAAATTTCCCGAGGAGTATTTGGGGTGCTTTTACATTGGATGATTACTTTACTGAATGAAATCTGCTACCCGCTGGCTGGAAAATTCATTGATCTCCACTCTGGAAGTAAATTTCGGTGCTACAATAGTTTCAACGACCATTCGTCCATATTTGGTCGATCGTGAGCATAATTCACTTTGATCAATAAACCCCTGTCGGTTGCTTTAAAGGTCCACGTGACCTCGATCAGTTGAAAAGTGTTTTGGCAGTCATCGTTTCAGAGAGGTTTGATAAACAATCGGTGGATTTATTGCTGGGCAGCGTTTCGCCTTTGACGCAGAAGCGGTAACTAAGACGGGTATTGGTGCCAACACCAGGGCCCAACAAGGGGTGGATCGGAACAGCGGTCATTCCATACAAAACAGGGACATCTGAAGTCACTAGAAGGGTGCTGAATACGGCTAAAATTAGAGTAGCATTCCAGAATGGAAAGACTTCACACTTGGTTTTGATGCAGTTAAAGGATCGCCTTCCGGTTGATAGGACTAGGATCTGTGTATACAAAATAAAATGTAACGACTGTACGAGGGTTTGTATAGGTCAGACAGCCAGGGAATTGCACACCAGAATCGGTGAGCATAAGCGTTCCATTAA